GCTTAGCTTTTACACATTCTGCAATGACACTTTAATATCCTCATGTTCTGTTTTCAGTTCTCCAAATATGACAGTATTTAGCATTTGACTTTCCCTGCTGCTTCTTTATGTTACTGAATGCCATAGAGTGCCCATAAACATATTGATCTAAGACCTTTAAAATGGCATAACTGTCAGCTGTAGCCAATAATGTTCTTTTGCTTTCACAATTTGCCATTTCAGGCCAGAGGACGGGGAAATCCACCCTGAGATCTGCAGGCTTTTCATCCAGCTGCAGTGCTGTCTGGAGATGTACATCACAGAGATGCTGAAATCTGTCTGCCTGCTGGGATCCCTGCAGCTCCACAGAAAAGGTTAATGCACATAGACTGCATAGCAGTTTATGGGTATCATAAAATCAAGTTTTAAAGAAAACTGGAAATGCTTAACCATAAAACATGAAGCAAGTATATTATTTAGTACTTCAGAAGGAACGACTGAATGCAGCTTAGAGGATTTTGTAGCTTTATTTATGTTTGTACCAATCACCACCTTAAGCTCATGTTACATTAACTTAACTACAGGTTAAGTTAGTTAACCTTTAACTTAGCTACAAGTTAAGTTAATGTAACAGAAACTAAAGGTGGTAAATGATGAATGATCAGATTTCAAACTTTTCTTCATCGGCTTTTTCATTTTTTCATTTTCATTTCATTTTTTACATTTTGGATATGACATAAATAATATCAAAATTATTGTCTTTGTGCTTTAGGTAAAGATTTGTGTTGTCCTCCTGGAATCGACAGTAAGACTGAAGACTCTGACATCCCCATCCTGGAGGACACCTCTTCTTCACCCACTGATTGTCCTCAGCTCTGCTGGCTGGTGGCCACTGATATAGAAAACATTGAAAAGTGGGTTGAACATTTTTTTTCTGAGAACAACCTGAGTGTTTTATGCTTTTTATGCAGGTCTTCAGAACTCTCCTAACATTTAAACATTTTAAAAGTAAAGAAATAATGCTCAGAAACATATACAAAGTAGCCATGTAATTTTTTTTTTGGCTTAACTATTTAATTTAAATATAACTGAGAAAAAGGTTTTCAAAGACATTATATAAAGCTGGTTTGTGGGGGACCTGTTTTACACAAGAAGAAAGCTGATAAAGTTTCCCCAATGAAAACCTCATCGAAAGAACTTTAGGATATTCTTTGAAATACTACAAATAAATGGTTCATTCTCATTGGATATTTTTAAATACTATATCTAAAAATCTTTGTCCATTTATAGTCACAGAGAAATCAGCAGATGTTTTCACAGCATGTCCGGTGATTCAATATGGATGCTGAATATTCATTTTAACAATGTAATCAAATCCACAATCTGCAATTTCTGCCAACAAATTTTTTGAGTGTTCAAAACCTAAAGTTGATGTGAACTGAAGAGACTATTTGAAGTTGAGTTGGGTCTTGAGACTTGAACAAAACATGAGTGTGGCTTCACTTAAACAAAAGAGCTGTCCGATCTGGCCCATTCAGCATTTGCAGACAAAATATATTGTACAAAGGAGAGTGAACGACCAACGTAATGTGATAAGGGATACATGGTTTGGAATAATAGAGTGGTCTGCATTTGAGGTACTGCATCAAACTTCCTTCACTTCCTTCTTTCTCCTGCTATGCCCTAGCACAGGACCACCTGACTCCATTCACAGTTTTACACTCTGTTCTTAAGTTGTTCTTTTTGTTTGTTTGATTTTCTGCACCAGGTTAGCCCATCAACAGGAGCTCAGTAACCTGCAGGGTCATATACATATGAGTAAATGCATCTTCATCAGCTTTTTAAAATAAAGCTCTATTGCAAAAGAATTCAAAACATTTACTGTATTTTCAAGTACATATGTGTGATATATCAAGAGTTGGAACTCGTCCAAGGAAATAATTCATAGTTAAGTTCATGAAAGTACAAATAATAAATTTTAACCAGATAAATGGTAATATGTAACTCATTTGAACCATGTTGACTTCTTTGTGTCTGTCTCTGAATATAATCGGAATTGAGAATAGTTTGGAACCGGAATCATAATCGGAACCAGAATCATTCAAATTCAAACAACACTCAACCTCAATTTTAAATGCCACATTTTAGTTACTCAAACTTTTGTATTTTTACAGGGACATGAGAGATATGAAGAATCTTCTAAGTAAACTCAGGGAGACAATGCCTTTACCACTGAAGAACCAAGGTAAGGGAAAGCATTATGCCTCATTTAATGCATATGTTTTATTCAAGTTTTATTCAGTAGAAAAGCAAAATAAAATGCGATATCATCTTCAGAAGTTCCAATAGGTAAAGAAAGTTGGAATCTCCTTGCCTTTATTGTATATATACAAATGGTATATATGTAAGATATATACAAAACTGTATATATGGTGTTTAAATATACTGTGATGCTGTGGGCTGCCTCCCAAAATCTATTTTCTTAATTCTCAGTCATCTCAGAGAATTAAGGAAGTTTATGTTCACTACAGACATAAACCCTGTAGTGAACCTACACAGTAAGTTTCAGAAAATAAAGCATAAGAGAGGACTCCGGATTCATAACAATCTACAAATTAGAATATTTCCACTTCAAGGTTGTGCAACTGTAATGAAATTTTTAGCCTTGGGTTTTGTGAAGTTAGAAAATTTAGACATTTATGACCATTTCGAGTATCTCCCATGAACAATTAAATGTTTTTATGTTCCTTTATTTTGCCTTTGTTAAAAAATTATTATGTTCTTCTCTCCAGATGACAGCAGCTTGCTGAACCTGACTCCCTACCCTCTTGTCCGACAGAGGAAAAGGCGTTTCTTTGGGCTCTGTTGTCTGGTAACCAGCTAAAGTCCCCACCTTCTAATGTAGGAGGCGACAACAAAGACACCATCACCCACTGTCTGTCACCACTCGTGTCTCCCACCGATCTACTACTGCCACTTTCAAATGTATTCTCTTTTTTTTAAAGGCTGCCCATTTTATAATTTTATTTTGTAATACAAAGGAGAATTGTAACTGCAATATAATAAAAATAAAACACCATAATCATATATTTTAAGATATTTTTTTTTAGTAAATAAATTGGCTGCTTGTCTAATTTAAAAAAAAAAAGAATGTGAGCTCACCTTAAACAATGTAATTGTTTGGTTATTACCACAGTCCCGAATGAGTGAAGTCAGGATTCATGTTTCAAAAAAGGGAATTTAAATGTCTGTGTTGTCAGAAATAATGTGATATGATCAAAAGCGATTTGAAGAATTAAAGGCCACACTCCCAGAGATGATGTGATGCCTTTGTCAAATATTAGATGACAGGTTTGTGCAGAAAAGTTGTTGTGTATTACAGTCTCTGTTTTCTGTTTCTTGCTGTTTTTGTTCTTACTGTACTTAATTTAGTCTTCCATAAACCAAGAACCTGTATTCAACTCAAACTATCCAGCTTCAAAATGGAATATATGAGACATTATTCAAAGGAAAACTTCTTTGCACACAATATCTATCTATAAAGACGTTAGACTTGTACATACACATACTCTTTACGCAAGGCTCTTAATTATTTTCAAAGTTGGAGTTGGTTAGCATAGAGAACCTGTTTTGGAGCAGTAAATGAGGGAGGATCTTGTGCTAACTGAGGTATACTAGAAAAGGAGAATGTGAAAATAAAAGCTGTAATAGGTCATTTTACATTGTTAATAAAACTTTGTTATTGAAACCATGTATATGGCGTGTCACACTTGTCTTACAAGTAATACATCAAAGTGTCCATAGGGTGGAGACAGAGAAACAAAATTGAAAGACAATAAGGGGTTTATTGTGAACACAAATACATGAACAGAACAGATGTTATGATATGTGATTTTGCTACAAAAGTAACTCCACATTTCTGTTGATATATACATAATGGCATCTGCCTGCTCAGTCAGATGCTTTAGGATTTTAAGATTAGAATTAGAATTTTTTGTGTAATTGTGTTACTGAAAAATTCCTGTGTTTTATATATGCTTATTTGCATTGTTTTAGTTCTTCTATCTCAGGGGTAGGCAACTCCAGGCCTCGAGAGCCTGTCTCCTGCAACTTTTAGATGTCTCCCTGGTCCAACGCAGCTGATTCAAAGAGCTGAATCACCTCCTAAATGCAGTCAAGTTCTCCAGAGTTCTGCTAATGACCCCATTATTTGACTCAGGTGTGTTGAAGTAGAAACACATCTAAAAGTCGCAGGAGACCGGCTCTCGAGGCCTGGAGTTGTCTACTCCTGTTATATCTGTACTTATTTTGCTCAGGTTCCTTGTTCACATCTGGCATACATAGGTGATCTGGAGAAAGCTAAGTAAATAGTGTAAAGTCCTCTGTGCTACAGATTGATTAAGTCCTCTCCATGTTGCCTCGATGCAGCAGTTTTTGCAGAAGAAGCTCTGACGAATTAAGTGCCTATGCTATATATATAGACACACTTTTTTTTTCTTTTCCTGAGAAAATTAATTTGTTGCAGAACTCTTGTCTGACAAACAAATCTCACTGAAACACGTTCTAATTTATTGAAAACGACTCAATACATACATCATTTTCATGCGAGTCTGACACAAGCAGGTACTGACACACATGGGCTCACAGTAGGAAAAGGCAGCGAGCCAGTGGAAGGAATCGGCTGCCAGCAGGAGTGTGTTCTGCCAGCAGGGAGCTTCTGCACTGTCAGTTATAGTGAGCAAATCTCTTAAAATATATTTCAGTTTTCCTAACAGGAGAATTTACATGATCATTTTAAGGAACATATTTACATTTTATTTTCTCAGGTAAAGAACTTAAATTTCATATGACAGTTTGTTGTGCGTACAAAACACACAGTTCAAAATGCAATATTGCCACAATATTCGGAGTAGCTGCTTATTGCATTCTGATTAGGAGTCTTTAAAAGTGTCAACAAGTGAGGAATAAACCATACAGAAAAACTGGTTCATGATTGAGAATTAAAAGCACTTTAAACAACATAAGTGAAATATTTTATTGATCAAAATAAAAAAGGAAATAAAACAATGTAAAGAAGAAAACAGAAGATACAGTTTTCAGTTTTCCCTCTGAACGATTAAGCTTTTGCATTTTATTTCTCAGCCAACACTTCTACAATATGCAACTGGTCAAATGCTGCTGAAGTACAGGGCAAATAAACAATAGCATGAGCGGGAGGTATTAGGAAGCACATGGCTGGATACTGACAACAGTCACCTTCTCCCCTTTGCATCGTCGAAGTCCTGCTTCACACTCGCTCATGGTTTGTGGTGCAACTGTTGAATCCTCACCAATACGGATGCACAGGCTTTCTCCTGGATTCAAGCAGTCAGCAGAGTCGTTTTTACAGAGACACTGATTTGTTTGGGCTGACAAAATGGAGTGAGAGTAAAAAGAAATGATTGATGAAAACCTGAAAACACCAGAGACGATTTTCAATTGTTTGTGAGCTTCTATGATCTCACCATCACAGTTTTCCCACATGTGACATCTGGTGCAATCTGTGGTGCTGCGCTGTGGCCACCTGCAGTTGCTCTCATCTGCTATCTCAAGATTTTTCCCGATACATTTGATTGCCTGAATCTTGCAGACAGTCAAGAGAACAAACTGTCCATTTAATGGACTTATGGCACACAACTCCAGCGAAGAACTGATTTTAAAAAATGAAGAAAAATAATAGACATCAAATTAAACCAACGAGCAAGAAAAATGCTAGGTGATCACAATTGTGGTTAGATCAGCAAATATACCTGCACTCAGGAGGCATTTTGCAGACGCATTTTCCTCTAAATAATTTCTGCCATTGCTTGCATTGTGTTGGGGAAGCAGTGGGCTTCTGGCTTCTTTGAGCTGTGGGGTACATTTTTTTTTCATTAACAGTAAAAACAAAAATAAGTAAAAAGCACTACTGTACTCTAAATGGTAGCTAATTACCATGTCTCACCAATCTATCATTGTTTTGAATACTATGCCAATAAAAGGTATTCACTCTGTTGGCTGTTTTAGCTCTCTAAATTATCATGCTTCAGTGTGGTTAGGATGTATTTGTGCTATGTTTATACTCTGCAAACATAGCTTCTTGTCTGGTCTGACGGCCAAAGAGCTTCAGTTTGTTCTTCTCAGAGCAAAGAACTTTCCTCCACTTGATCTTGACCATGGAGACTCCACATACCTTTTGGCAAACTCTATTTGAGTTTTCTTTAACGGCGGTTTTTTTTATCACAGAAAGCCCATAAAGCTTTGACTGATGAAGAACCTGGACAGCAGTTGTATTCAGAAATTAGATAATATATGGGGACAACAATACCTTGGATGCACCTGGTTTGAGCTGGGTCTGGAGAAAAATTCAAACTGGAATCACAAACAGCTGTAGCTTCACCATCTAATGAACGACCCTGTGGGCAGGACAAGCTAACGGAGTCTCCCAGATGATAAGCCTCCTGTAAAGGAGATGCTATGACATCCTCAGCGAGCGGAGGAAGCTTACACACTGAAACTAGGAGGGGAAAAACAAACATGGAGTTAATACAACTGTGATATTGTAGTTCACATTTATTACAGATATAGTTACCTGCACAGAGCCCAGGTTTTGCAGACCAGGTTTGATCAGCATTGCATTGTAAGATGCTGTTACCAACAAGATAAAATCCGGCGGTGCAGCTATATTCCACTCTGTTACCCACATAGTAGTTGTCCCTGGGATCCTATGCAATATGGTTAGAGAAACAGTTTTATTTATTTTTTATTTTTTAATGGTTTTATGTTTCCATTTTCAAAATTTGTTTCAGTGTCCACAACACTGATTTTGGTTAAGTTTGTCACATATTTCCTGATTACATGTAATTGGTTACTGCATGTCCAAAACACTTAGAACTACCTTGCTGCTGAAGTGCGCCATACAAATAAACCTGATTTGACTTACATATATGACTACATCTGGCACTATCAAGGTGAGTTCTATTTAAGGTTGAGATTTTAAAGTTGTTCTCTTTTTCTTTTGGAGTTGGGCAGCTTTCACTTTCTGTTTGGGATGGAAACTGTCAGTCAGATAGCACTATGAGTTTTGCTTGAGTTCCACTTTTCCTTTGCTCCTCATTGCACAGTAATTCAGCTTCATCTTTACCAGGATGTAGCCGTTGACCAAATTGGGTGGAGTCGCACACTTCTGAAGTTCTGGGAGAGTTTGATCAAAGCACTGAGGCTCCATGGTTCTGTGGAAATGTTAAAATGAAAAGCTGTATTAGTGGGCTTTCAACAAAATATTGCCTCCCTAAAAGGTTAGCTTATTACAATCACTTAATGAATGTCTGCAAATTCATGAATTCATATATCACATTGCAACTAGCTCTGACTTTAAGTGCTGCAGGTCCTCTTGCTCTTCACAGCCAGCAGTCTCAGTTGTTTCTCCGGTACAGTGATGACCGCCGTTCTGAGGGGAAGGGTTAGAGCAAGAGCGACTTCGTGAACTTCGACCCCCAGAACACAAAGACCAGGCAGACCAACAGGACCAACTGCCATGGATCACACCTTCATTTAAGGGGTGCAAGAGAAAAATAAAATCATTTGTAGTATTTCATTTTACAAGCAATTGTAAAATAGTAAATTAAATTGTATTAAAATCAAACATCCACCTGGTTGGCCTTCTGCCTCAACTCCTTGTTCACAAGCCAGTCCTGATGTGCCAGTTTTACAGATGCATTTGCATTTGTCTCCGTCCATGACAGCCAGGCCATTATTTCTGCAGGATTGGCAGTGGCAGGAATGGCTCTCATACAGGTATTGTTCTATGGCTTTACGGAGGAAGAGTCTCTTAACTCCAGAACACTGAACTTCTTTAACCAGTTCTGAAAGAGGTCGAAACTATCAAAACAAAAGCGTTAGAGGGTCAAACTAAAGAGAAAAGTTTTTTATTAAAACGAGGTAGGTCATTGTTTTCTTCACCTTTGGCTTTATGACCACAGGGAATGACCTGATGGAGTCAGCCCAATTTGAGTACAATTCCCAGTTCTTTTCTGCATCCTCAAGCTGCATTTTCTCTAATCCTTCTATATGTGTTGGACCTCCTCCAAGCACTTCCACTTTTGCAGTATTGTCAGAGCTGCTGGAAACTGTTTCAAAACACATTTATGGATAAGAAAATGGAAATATCTAGCATATTTAGATTTGTTTATGAGCTGAAAAAAATTAACAAACGTTTTACCACTGTGCCATGTGCTTGAATCTCCCGTCGTTGTGCAAACCACTCTTGTGAAAGGAATGAACAGAATCCAGCGTTTTTTCCTTTCACATTCGTGATTGTCGAAGCTCTGACTCTCTTTAAAACAGACGAAAAGAGAGAGAAAGTCAAATTACCTCCGAGGTAATTTAAACTACCTCTAATTTATTCCAGAAAGTTTATTTTTGCACTAATTTACAACTTTTTTCAGTCTAATTTCTGCAAAGGTTCATGACAGACTACTTAACTTAATTTGCTTCAGAAGGACATGGCAAATGGAAATTAGAAAAGGGCTTGAAAAATAATAGACAATCTATCACAACTTCAAAAGTATTGAAGTTGTGATAGATCCATAGTGGACATCATATTTAACCCCACAGATTAATAATAGAATGTCACTTAAAGCTCAAGTATGCAGCTATTATAAAAACATGTTTTTCACATATTTGTAAAAACTGTTACTCTGTCATTACAACTTGGTCAGAAACAACCAGTCAGAGCAAACAGGAAGATCTTAGCACTTTCAATCAGCTACCATGCAGCTTTTCCTGAAATGCAGAGCCACAAAAAAGTGAGAAAGAGGAAAGACATGCGGCCAATGTCATGGGGTCAGGACTCGAACCAATGATGGCTGCATGAAGGACAAAGGTCACTGTATAACGGCTATGCGCTCTACCTCTTTGCCATAGCAGCACTCTATAATAATATTCACTTATAAATAAGTGAATATTAAAAAACAAATTACTTATAAAAGTTATCTACTGCAGTTTCAAATTCATATGTCTGTGATGGCAAAGACAAAACAGACAAAAAGACCAAACCAAAAAATGAACACGAATTTAGTTAGGAAGACAAAAGAATTGTGTTGCTTTTTAACAAACTAAGCTTGATTCCACATTGCTGTGATGAGTTATCAAATGAAGTGTGATCACTTCAGAGCAAAAGTCAATATGAATCAACTTAGTCATGTAAACAAATTGAAAGTGTTTTAACCCTGCCATAAAAATACCATAAAGCAAAATTTCCGTTAACATGCTTTTGACCGGTCTTAGAGAAAATTACTAAATACTTATTAATTTTTTTTTTAATTTCAAAATCCTTACTGATGCGCTTTTCAGTTTCTTCATTGATTGAAACGATGGAGTTCAAGGAGCCCCCCATGCTTCCCTCAGATATGTAGTGCGTTCCAAACATCTCCAAAATCTTCCTGTAGGCCGAGTAGTCATAAACAGAGGGGAGGTTGGCCAGGGCCTTCCAAAACTCCTCTGATATTGGAAGGTACTTAGGAGAGTTGCTTTGGAACTGAGCTACCTCTATCTCATTCTTTAACACCACAATCCTTCTGGCCTACAGAGAAGGAAAAAAAATAAATGAACATAATTTTTGATCATGGATTTAGTTGTTGTTGTTTTTTTAAAAAAGAGTTTTCTACAATATTTTCTGTTGAAAAGCAAAAATGTAAGGTCCAACATACTTGAGATGTGTCATGTTTATCATGGAAGTCATAATTACGATGTCCTGTTGTTGTCCCGGTTACTGTCTCTCTGTTGACAATATCTTTTGCATAGTGCCATTGGCTGGCAAACATCTCATCACTGAAATCCTTTTGGACTGTAACCTGAGAAAATACCAGGATTAATAATGTTTCCTTATCAAGATGAACAAATATTTGAAAAAAATTTTATAAAAATAAAATTACTCCATGTAGTTTAAATCTTTTGGGCGATAGATAAAAGATGGTCCTGTTGCATTGCTGTCGACTGTTAGAGTGTTCCTTGAAGTGGGTAGCTGTTTGAACAGCCTCTTTTTGGAGAAATAAAATATTCATCCTAACCAAAGAGTCAGGCAAACCACTTACGTTTCTAATTTTAAAACTAGCGTACTCAAAGTTCATCCTTAAAAAAACGAATCCTCAGTTGGAACTGAAACTGTTAACTCTGAACAAAGTAGAATTATAATTTGAGCAGGTTCTTATTATTCAATTTTGCTCTGAATCTTTTACAAGACGCCAGACTTTACTCATTGAGCACTAATCAGTGACACACAACGAGTAAAAGAGACTGAGTTCAAAGGTAAATGGTTTATACTTGTATGGTGTTTATCAAACACACTACATTCAGTCATTCATCCACACACTGATCATGGCAAGCTACAGGAGGGAGACAAAGTTGGAATTGGAACCGGTGGCAATCCACCAATTGCGGGACAAACTCCTACCACCAATGCCACCATGATCCCAACCACTGACCAGATTCTTCTACTAACCAGGAAGTTGTACTGAATAGTGCTGAGGGGAAGCCGATAAATGGTTTTGTGGACATCACTAAAGACGGATCGACACTGGCCTCCAAAGCTCTTTGTGTTGATGACGCTTCCTCTGCTCTTTCCAGATACTACGTCAAACCTACAGGGGAAAAAATACATTCATATTTATGCTGATGTTCAAAAGTAATTTGAGGAACTGGATTTTATTTAGGAATATTAGAGTAAGTGCAACTTAATACATTTGCATGATACACTTTTTAAAGATTATATTGGTCAATGTTTTTGTAAGCCAAGTATAATTTCCTTTCAGTTTCACAGTAATGCTCTATTTTGTGTTGGTCTGTCACTGAAAGTTCTGAAGAATGTGGTCATAAAGTGGCAAAAAGTCAAAAAGGACAAAGAATGGGAATGCATAGGCATGATGTACTTTTTCTGATGGTTAAATGCAAATGTATCTCTGCAAAGGTTTCTCACTGACCCAATCCCAAGTAGCTCTATTTGAGGAGGGGGAACTGTATGTTCACATGTGATGAACTTTTCAACTGGACAGTCCTGCTCATCTAGTCCATCTTCTTCACAGTCCTGATCTCCGTTACACAACAAAGACTTGCTAATGCACTTCCCTGCAGATCAAAGAAAAAACAGATATTTAGGGCTGCTGTATTTTATTTTGTTTGACTTTATAAAGTGCTGGGGTTTTTTTTTGCAACCTGATCGACAACGAAATCTATCTCCGCATCCATCTTCCAATGGACAGGCTTGTGTGGTTTCACAGGTTCTGGTCTCAGTGCGGCCGCCATTACAGGGGTTCCCATCAAACTGAGCATAGACAGTCATGGCTCGGCTTCTTGTCTATAATGTGAAATGACAAAAATCAGCATCATGAGTCACAACTGTTTCCAGATGGGGAACCAAATTAGCAAAAGGATTTAAAACTTCTCCAAACCTGCAATTTGGAGCAGGGATCACAAGCTGACCAGCTTCCAAAAAGCCCCCACTGGCAATGAACACGCTGCACACAGAACCTTACAAAAATAATTAAAATCTAGAAATTCAGCACACTGAAGGTTAGTGGGAAAAAAACTGCAACACATCAAATTAGTTTTGTTATCACCATAGATTTGAAGTGAAACAGGAGAATAAACTTACACTCTGGCAGAGTGCAGGGTCAGGAGCAGCAGCGAAACTGTTGCACAGAGTTGCGCAATATTCTAACAAGAGAAGAGAAATAACAATCATAAAAAACAAAAATGAAAAGAATACACATTCTCATTAAGATCACAATCTAATGCTGAACATCTGTGCTTATCAAGAACTGCTCTCAAGAACTAAAAATTATAGTCATACTTGCCTTCATGATGTTCGAAGATGAGCAAACAGGAGGCATATGTGCAGGCTTTCACACAAGTATATTTAAGGGGAGTGTCTTTGCTGGGAAGATGCCCCAAGGAATTCAAGATATTTCATAAGGCAGAGTATGTGGGAGTGGAAGAAAGGGGGAAGGATTGTTTCTGAAGAGTGTATGTGCGTCTTTGGATTTGATGAAAAAGAAAGTTTGGTGGCTTCTCCAGCCAAAAAGCTTGTGCAAAGATTCCTTCCAAATCCTGAGTTTACTCAGTAACATTATCTCACTACTGAAATGTGGAGTTGTGTAAATGAAGGCCTCCATGTTCTTTCAGGGTCTCTAGAAAACCAGTTTTTATTTTAACTTTCCACTTTACATGCAATGACTTTAAAAGATAAAATAGCTGCCTGAAGAAAGATTTGTTTCCTTAGCAGATCTAAATAGTCCATAAGTAATCATCCCTATGGACTATTTAGGGATGATTTGGTTTTGGTGTTTGATGAGGTTACATTTAGAAAAGATTTTTTGACTCTTCAAACTGAAGCTTAAAAACAGCTTCTTGTCTCTTCACACGTTTTTACAGGGCTGCAGTTCACTACAGTTTTATTCATTATAAAGTACAATAACTCTCTAGGATGTTATTCACATGTAATCCACCTTTTTTTTCTTTATTACTCTGAATTTTGGGTGCTTGGAATATATTACACCATAAACCCATTTAATCCCAAAGGCAAGAATTGTTACGATACATTTTTTTTCTAATTTCTGGAAGCTCTAAAATAATTGTTTTGACTCTTGGCTGCTAAATGAACCAGTGAAAGCTGAAGAATGTTAGTGTGTCAGTAATTATCTTCACCACAAGTTTTGTATGTTATTGTTTTATTGTTATATTGCTGATTTTCTTTAATTTTTTTTGCCCCAGTTACATTAAATTAAATTTGCCTTTTTAATTATTTATATATTTTTGAATTAACCATAGCTTGCAAATTCTGTATGGATTATTATTATTAGTTGCAATATAGTTTAACAAACACTGGAGGGCAACAGAGGTCTGAAGTGCTTTTCTTTTATGCATTTTTTAAAAAAACTTGCATTGCTAAACAAAAACCTGTCTGTGTTTGCACGACTCAAAAAATAATGACCCATTCTATTAGCTTAACCAGCTTGTTGATATTTATAAATGATAAATGATATAAGATAAATGCTTATGTGACAACCAGAGGTGTTTTTTTTAGTCCAGCTTGGTCTGTTTGCCATATTTGTCTGTATTATCCTCTCTAAATATGGCTGTATTTGTGCAGTCAGGGTGACATACTGTGCATATTCATCACACACTAGCTGGCAATACTCAGACCTAAATGGATTTTTATATTTTTCTTTTTTCTTAGTGAGGCTACAGGAGAGGCGAGGTTGTCTTGTCTGGCATTTATTTTGGCTGCTCATCATTTTGACAAGTGACTCTCGGAGCCATTTTTCATGCTTTCAATTTTAGGATGTCATATTAATGTAAAGCTTGGTGTTAAAAATGTGCTGCAAAATCTCATAAACTGTACTTCACAGAGTTTTGTTTACAATTTAGACATACAATTTGAGTTTTCAAATAGAAGAGAAAAATAAGGAAAGATTAAATCAAATGCATTGGGCAGACATTGTAGCTTTTTTTATTTTCTACACAAAAATTTTAGGGTTATATACTATTTATCTAAAATTAGTGATGCAGATTCACCAATGTTTTGTGTCAGATTTAGGAATGCACCAGAAACATGAAAATACAACAATTCTTAAAGGTTCTTGGTTTTTAGTGTGTTAAAATTGATGCAGTTAATTTCTAGAAATTGATACCTTTATGTCCCAGCCCCCAAAATGAACTGTTTCTGTTGTTATGAAAAGAATAGGCTTGGTCCTGCTGAAGGTGAGGAAGACAACGATATCCAGAGTCATGGGTATTCTCTCCATCTACTGAAATATTTATTGCAAAAATTATTTGTTTATTTCTACTCTCACCCCACCCCGTCCAAGTGCTGCATGACTTAGCAAATGTACAACAGCAGGCTAATTTCCAAAGCCTCCAGCTGGAACAGCACTTCCAACAGTTCAGACAAGAGGCCACCAGAGCGTGCCCTCCATTAGTCCTTTTTCTGTGGGTTTAGCGTATGCATAAACCCAGAAGGCCATCTTTGACCGCCATCTGCCCTGGAAGTTTTACTTGTCAAGGATCCAAAATCATATTTGGATATTTCATCTGTTTTTGTGCAGAAATATATCTTTATGAATTTATTTGTATGTTCGCTATTCAAGATCTGTTTACCCTAACCCAATTTTAAATAGTGTTGTTTTTTTTGTGTGTGTCTTTTTTTTGTCTGTTGAATTAATGATTATCAGTATGTTCATTACATATGTTCAGATTTAGTTTTGTGTTTTTCAGACTGGCTTTTCAAAACATCTCTCTTGCAGTCTTCTGCATTCCTCATCATTCTTTTCTGATCTTCATTATAACCATATTTTCCGGCTATATGTCGCAGTTTTTTTCATAGTTTGGCCGGGGGTGCTACTTATACTCTGGAGCGACTTATAGTTCAGACAATAAGGTAGGTCTTTGGACTTGCATGTAAGGCTGGACTTTGATTTGGCCATCTTAAAACCCAAACATGTTTTAACCTAAACCATTTCACTGTAACTCTGGCTGTATCCTTTAACCTGTTGCGTTTCATTTATCTCCATCCATTTTCCAAGAAACTCAGACCAGTTTCTGTGTCACTGTTAAAGAAAAGCACCTCAACATGTTGCTATCACTGGTATTTTTTATATGGATGGAGGGTTGTTTTTTTATTGCTATTGTTTTTCTTCTGGTTTTCAGTCATGCCATAGTTTACTCTGTGAGATGTGGAAAGATCTCAAAATTGATTTTTAAAGTGGCTTTGCTTTAGTTTCGCCAACAACTTCACTTCTAATCTGTCCAGTGTGTTATTTGGTTCATGCTGCCATTGTTCACTATTGTTCTCCAACAAACCACAAAGGACTTCATAGAGCAGCTGTATTTATTGCAAGTTTAAATTACACGCACCTTCCCTCCATTTCCCAATTAAGCAATTAAGCTAAAATATTTTGAAAGCCATTCATCATTTTCCCCTATATGTCACACACATGTCAGTTGTTTTAAGTTGGAAACTTTTCTGTCGAACAATTTTCTTATTCTTCCCAACATTGTAAATTTTTGCAGTTCAAAGTTCTGCTGTTTCCTTGCATGAGATTTCATGATGAGATGTTGTTATATGTGACTTCTGGCTCTTTTGGAAAGAAGTCTGTCTGAAGCAATCATTAAGTGTCTCCTTCTCTTTCTCCTCTTCATGTTGCAGACTGGCATTTTCATGTTTTTATTTATAGTTAATGCTATATTTTGCTGCGTATTTATGTAATCTGTCATGGTTGTATCCATTATCTGTACCTACCAAATCCTCTTAAGAGCCACGAGAGTGAGGGGGTTTAGAGCGGTCAGCATTTTAGAGGTATTGAAATACAACCAAATGGGTCATGTATGGCAGGTTATGGTTTATGTAAGCAAAAAACAATGACATTCTTTCGTGATGAAAATGCATATTGTAGGCAGAGCAGCTGTCACCCTGTGCACACATGTACCTTAACAAGTAGAGACAGAAGTGCCTGGAAAAAATTACTCCTCCTCCTCCACATGCGCCAAACTTTTATGAAGCTGCACATCTCGCCACTGCCCCTCTTTAAACTGTCTGAATGCCATCATCCATCTCTGCCTCCCACACCTCTACCTCCTCTTCACTGCTGTGTGTGCGTGACAGAGAAAGAGAGACATTTTAACATGAACACGCTCTTTAACAAATCATTTGCATTTTCTCATCTTTCTTCGGCAAGCAGCCATTTGTACAGAACCTTGACAGCGATGTTACAGACATTGTGTTAGCTTGGTTTTTGGGGGGGGGTTTCTGACGGTTTCATTATATTATTGACCTGCAAAAAAAACAAAAGTGAACACCAACCAAAAATTGTGTGACCAACAAGAAGAGAAATTAAATCAAGACAATTTTGTGAAAACAACTATTTATAATAACACATTGGGAAGCTTTGCATATTTAGTGATGAGATGCTAAGACTTCAAATCTGTGATTTGTTCTCAAAGCAGTTAGTGGGTCAGAATTAGATGAATAGAGAACTCAGTTTTTTTTGTTGTTAAAAATATGCACACAAACAGAAAAACACTGAGCTATTGTTTCTTCTTTACCACCTGGCTGCTAAAAGTCTGACGCTGAAACAACCTCAGCAAGGTCACGCTAGGTGCCGCTGCCCACCCTCTCTCTGTGCTCATCACCCTGGAAACAAGATAGTTTTCGGATGCTTTTCTGCAGTGTTGTACAGTGAGAGAAATGCTGCCATGCTTGCTTAGAAGCTGTAAGGAAGTCTGCATCAGATCCTGAGTAATTGCAATTTGCTAATTAAGTTCAATTGCAGCCTTATTGTGCTTGTTAACATAATAATCTTTTCAGTCAAGGAGTTAACCAAGCAAGCAAACAGCTCCCCCTCAGCAAACTGCTCACAGAATGACACTTCACCCAAAGGCATAGAAGCTTTATTTGATTGGCCATTTTCCACATAGAACAGAGTAACTTTAATTTGAGCAGTATGGTTTGGATTTTTACAACAGCAAAGGACTCTTTTCACATCAAAAAACAAGTGCAATGACAACAGTTTGGACCAGGGAAAGACACAAATGTCCTTACAACACAATCTACAACCTTCTCTTCAGTGGGGTTTTGGCAGTGAAATAAGTAAAAATGAAGAGATTTTCACCTTAAAAGATAGAAACATTTACAGTTAAAATGGACACATGCTCTTCAGGGAAATAATGTAAAAATCGATGTAGATGCAAAGAAACCTGATGAATTCTAAAAAGCTTTTCATTCATGCACAAAGTGAAGTACAAAAGAGATTTGAAAGTTAACATCAGCTCTGTTGTACCAGTTATAGGAGAATGCATTAGTAATTTGCACAGTTACAGAATGTAGAAACATTCCACAATATAAAGTGTTTGACATAACTCAGAACCTCACAGAAGTGAAAGTACTGGAGCAGATACTACAAACATGTTAGGCTGAATCTGTCACTCAGATGAAACTTCTTGAGAAATGATACATTTACTCACAAAACGCACATTCAGCAATTCAGCTGAGTAACATTTTTTTAAATGGCAAACTTTACCAGAACATCCTTACGTCCTTTACCAGAAGAGTTTACATTCTCGTGAGAAAATGCCATGTTAATTATTAGCTTCAAATGATTATTTTCCTGCATATTTTCCATTTTAACTTTAAAACCCTTAAATTATAGCTGTAGGGATGTCCCAACCATTACACCTGTGGTTAGGCTACTCATTGCAAATTAGTTTTGCACAGTAAATTTTGAAAAACTATGATATTGTTACAATGCAACACTGTGTGAAATGGATATTAATTTGTTGATCTTGAAAACCTGGGTTTTCAACAAGGTGAATGTTTTTAACCCATTATACTGCGTTCATAGTAAACATGAGATTGCTGCCGTGACCATTTGTCCTTCTATACATGTGTAATTTAAAGTTATTAAAACAGGGGAAGAACTTTTCACGCACCGAATGACCCACCAATTAGTCATTTACTAGACTTGCATATGTGATATGCAACTCGTTTAAAACATCCCCAAACAGTTGCCAGCTTAGACAATTAAGTATGTGGAAAGCAATTCTAGTATTTAAATTGTATGAGATTTAAAGCAAAAGAATTAGAAAAATGTTTTCCGTTGCTTTTTTTTGCGTGAGGTTAACTGAAACCTCTCTGAAATATGTTAAGTAAATTATCAACAAGCAGGATCAAGATGTCTGTTTTTCTATGATTGTAGCTGTATGTGACAGATGTTTTTCGTGAGTTTTCAGTGATGTGTTGTCAGAACTTTATAGTAACTTTCTTAAAGACATGGTTCAGTCTTTGAGGCAGCAGAGGCAACCAGCAGCTGCAGTTGTTCAGCAGACAAAACATCTGCAAACCTCACAACTTTGGCTTGCAGTGCAGTAGACTCCAAATATACGGTAATGTAGCACTGAATCCTATGACTATCCACCATTTCAGTTTGAGTCATTTTAAATCTCTAACATAACTAAAAGAGGCGTCTGTCTGGCTAGCTGTCAGCTGCCACCGAACTGCAGATTTTATGTATTTTTAACAAGCTCGCTGCTGTATAGTATTTCCCTACACAGTGCATTACTGATAACTTTACTTAAAGTAACTTTTAAAAATTCTGTACTATCCTTTTAACAGAGTTAATGCTTGCTGGAGAAGCATATTAAGGCTAAACTGCAGAAACTACAGCTGGAACAAAACATCACTGTTAAGGGATATAGTATATTGATGTTTGGAATATTATTGGTGAGTGCATGTAATCCTGGGAAGGTGGAATGTATTTTACTGAGCTCATAACTACCATTTTTTATTAACCATAGGTTAGCATCAAACTGTGACCCAAAATTCTGTGAATTAAAGTGTTTGTACTGCAAGGTGGCCACATTTGGACTGCTTAAGCTATCATGTCTATAATTTTCTGACTTGAATTAAGTTGCTAAGTCACTGCTAAGAAGTGTTATCGCCCGTTATTATGAAGGAGAACATTGCACAGTGACTCATACGTGCTGCAATATAGAAAGAAGGACAAACAAACATACAAAGGTCAAGTTAGTCGCAGAAAAACTGTGGGTACAGTCATGTACCAAAATATAATCATTTCGCAACTTAGAATCCACCATGTAGTAGAACAAACAGTTGGATGTTTAACCATTAGAAAAGAGGGAGTAAGTGCATCTAAGTGCATTTCTAACAGAGCAAGTAGATGCTTGTTATGAAAATGGGAAAATAATTGTCAAATGAAGATGGAGAGAATATATATGCACCAACAGCATAGATATTATTCGCCAGTTAGACAAGCTGCACTCTGTCTCTCCCTTCCTGTGTGGTTATAAATGAGCAAATCCACGGTTTTAATCAATCAATCCACAGCTGCCTATAGGACTGTCTGATAAATGACAGCTGTAATTCCAACTTCAGTGCAAATCACTACTGAGTAAAAACCTCATTGAAATATTACTGCTGGAGGACAAATATGGAAATGATTTCTTTCGTGTCAGTGTAATGAATAAACACACCGGAACACCACATTTTTATGACACTCTGCAGCCAAACCTCAGGAGAAGCGTTTGCAAAACACCTGCAGTGACATGAAAGGGGATGCATATTGTCTGGAAAAAAAAACAACAAAAAAACGACTGCACTTGGACTGATTTTTCAAACGGGACATACGAGAGCTAGCTACAATTTACGATTTCAGTTACATATATTCATTTAAAACACCCTCTGGCAAAACTGTTATCATCACTAGAATATCAAGACGGATGTAAAAGTAAAGTCAGTTGAAGGTAATTATGCTCTGAAAACCTGTGTTAGAGTTGCGAGCCTGGAAATGGTATATTTGTGGGAACAGCGGATATTTTTACAGCCAAGGGAGTAACTTACATCACCACTAAGTCTGGAAATAAAAAAAAGTCTTGATCCCAAAAATAGGAAACAAATCAACCTCATTCTCAAAGTACTCCAACCATCAGTGTATTTTTTCACCAGCCTAATCTCGGTCTCTTCTTCATCCTCCCTGATCTCTCAGTCCACTATAGCCCTAAATAAAGAGAAAGGAGCCGCAACATTGCTTCCCTCCTGAAATAAATGCCAAAGAGTGTAGATTGAGAGCAGAGCCCAGAACACCCGTTATTCGGTGGTGGCAACTGCGCTCTCTGATGTCCCAACATGGGCTCTCAGGTTGCATCGTCATCTTCGTCTTCATTCAGGTGATGATAGTTGAGGCTGATGACGGCGCTGATGAATTCACCGAGCTCAACAAAATCGGCTGTAATAATGTTGATGCCATTCTCCCCGGGCCTTTGAGATCTGATCCACTGCATCATGCCTGGTAACGCCCTACGAAGAACAGAAACAAACACAAAACACACATACAATAGCTTGTAAGGAAAAAAGGGCAGGTTCTTCAGGTTTCTTTCAAGCATTAATCGTTTAACTACACCCTGGGAGTTTATGGTATTGCTTCATTGACATGGTACAGTGTTGTTGGCCAGAGAAAAGTATAAAACACAGTTTTGTGCACGGAAAAACAAGCTGTGATAAAAGATCTTTTTAGCACAGCATGTGATGTCTGCCTGTGTCCTTCTCACAGCTGGCGTTGGGGTGTGAGAAGTGCACTCTGAGCTTTTGGTGGACATGTTCGTGAATATCGAGCAACAGGGGAGGACGTTATCTTCGCCGATTCCTCGCTCCACATGGCCCCCCAAATTCTAGGAGTTTTCGCCCTCCCTCCATCTCATGCACAACTGTTTTCTTGCATTGCAGAGTCCTCTACTGATTTGTGAGTGTTGCAAAATGAATGCTTGCAACTTTGAAGGATGTCTACATCAAAGTAGCTAACTGCCTGGTGAGAATGGCTGATGGAGGAATTATCAAATGAATAATTCATACCAGCAAAATTGATGGTTTTGGTGCCAAAGCTTTTAACAAGCTGGTGACATTAAGATGGAGTGAAACACAGACAAAGCTGGGATAAACCTAGAAAATTAGTCCTGCAACATAGGGAAGGTACACAAAGAACAAAGAGAAACAAAAACAATGGTTTTGTTTTTTAAAACCAACAAACCAGCTCAAATGAGGTCACAGCCAAATGCTGGGGGACATTTGTAAAACCCAACAGGCATGCTGATTAAGTTATTTAATGCCACAACGGCTCACATATTTCTATCTTTGGGTGTCCACACCGTGAGTTGTTATGGGTAAATTATGCCACCTCAGAGACCAGTGGCGCTTGAGGTGTAGCAGCAGTTTTGGTCCCAGATGGTTGTTACTCTTTTTCCTAATTGGTGAAAACGCTGCATGATTTGCATGCCCTATCGTTATGCTGTAAACAAGCAGAACAATGTTCTTGTTGGGTTCTTTTGGCCTCTCCCTGGAATAAATACCTTTCCGTTATCGTCTCCCTCAGTCCGCTGGCCACGCCCTTCATAACAGTACTTGCCTTTGGTGTCAGAACCACCTGGGAGACGAAGAACGTTCCCTTCCTCCTGCAGAAAAAAAGAACATGTGTATGTAAACTACAGATCAGAATTATATGAGAGCTGGTTATTGAAATAAATGTCGCAAACCTGCGGTCAGTTACAGATGCCTGGAGAAACTGAACGAGCTTCTCTGGGTCGGTGGTGTTGGCCCACGGAGAAGGCATCATCTGGCCAGGCCACAGGAAGGGAACCTCCAGGGCCATGGGGTGGTGGTAGAAGACCAGCACCTGGTACTCCTTCTCCCAAAGATACTTAAGAGTCACCTATGCATAGTCAGAGAATTACAGGATAACAGATTATTGAATGAGAAATTAACTACAACTGCACCCTGTTTTCTTATAAATTAGGCACTGTGAGAAAAATGTTTTTTTGTTAAAGCTAGAAAAGTTGGTATACAAGTTGACAATTGGCCATAAAAGTGCCATTTTATTTGTTTTATAAGACGTGTAACTACTTTTGGTGATTTCCAATAAAAACGAATAAAACTGGTTCCCTTGAACTGTAATAATCTACACTGATGGGAGATGTGAACAAAGTCTGACATTTATGAAGCCTTTCTATTTGTAAAAACTATAAGAGTCCAATATGAAAACCAGAATTTAAAGACAATTCAAACAGGGACTTAGCAATTTTACTCTGGTCACAAATTCCTTAAAACAGATTTGAAATGCAACTTTTTTAATCCACTTGTAAAAATAAAAGCATTGGTATCAGATCCAGAGGGAGGCTATCTGAACTCTCATTGCTACTGTGGGACTTTCAGCCTGAGAAACAAGAAATGACTAGCCAATCAGAGTTTGTGATGACAGACACATCAGAACAGAGAGAATCACAGATCAAAATGATGATTTAAAGTAACAGCAAGGTAATATGAGAAGCACAAAAAAATCCCATAGCTTCAAATAGCAAACAAAAAAGCTATGAAATGTCAAGGCCTCTGCAGCACTTGGGGCTGCGAACTCCAAACTGGGGAAACGGCTGCAGCAGATTCCAGGAAGAACTTCTGAGATCTCAGATGAGTACAGTTCTAGCAATAGCTAAGAAATGGAGAAGTGAAGAGATAAAATTCTTTGAGATTCCTGTCGCACATCACCCAATTCACCATGACGGAATCAAGTCTGAAATCTTTATTGGAGCCCACTGTGATAAGAGAGTGACTGTGAGATAAGAAGATGTCAAAGCAACGGTTTATTAGAGTATCTTCTGCATGTGATAAGCCAGAAAGTAGGGGAGAGAAAGTGCTTCAGTACAAGTCAAGCTGCAAAATGATTACGAGTAGACTGAAAATAAAACCTTCTGAAAAACAAAACCGACTAAAAATGGAATGTTCATAAAAAATAAAAAAAACTATCATTAAGACAATCATCAAAGTCTAGATAAAAAACTTAAAAGTGCAGTGAAGAGCTGAGATCACTCGCAAAAATGTTATATCCTCATTGACACAAGTTGTTAAAGTTACAAAATAAATAAATTACAGGGGGTTGCATTGTTGAAATGTAGATGCATTTATACCTCTTGTGCAAAGACCACTGGGCAGAGTTTTTCTCCAAAAACTTCTTTCAGCATGGCCACCAGCTTTTCGTGGTGCAGGTTCTGTACACCGTAGAAGTGGTTGAAATCCAGGAAAACAACTTCTTTGGCATGTGCTGATAGGAAACTGCTGATCTGCTCTAAACCCTCGCGGACCTGAAAACAGACACATAAAAACCCCTCTAATAAGAAATCCATCTATTGACATCCTGACACCAAAATCTAAATGCAGAAAAAACTTTGACTTTCCAAGGTACTTCAAGAGGTACTTTCTCTTGAAGTGCAAGGAAATTAAATAACATCACTTAGCAACCACAAGTATCAGTCATTGCATCAAAAAAAACAACAAAAAAACACAAACATCAGAGCTGTCTGCTTCTCTACTGACCGTGGCACTGAAGAGCCCGTGGGCGAAGTACAGCTCGTTGTCGGGGTCACGGGGCTTGGTGGAGATGCGCAGGTCAAAGAAACGGATCCCGGCCTCCAGCTGGCTAGTGAAGTTCATAGTCTGCGTGGCCAACCACTTTCTCATTAGCTTCTTGGCTACCGTACCGAAAACAGACACAAAGTTCTGGACTGTCTCTGGCTGTTCGGGGCCCACTGGGGATGCCTCGTCAATGTAGAAACTGAAGGAGTCGTGAGAACCTAAAGGAGGACACAAAAATGAGTCTGCATGACGGTACTGTCAGTTGCAGGTATTTAAATAAGGACATTGTGATGGCATAAATTAAGTCAAGATTATTTGTACAGCACATTTCAGCAACAAGGCAGTTCAAAGTGGTTTATATGAAACAAGCAATACGCTCTATTTTCTTGATCATCCTAGTTTGCAATTACTCCTGCCACAAAATCCCATTTCTTGCTTTTTAGGCACACAGAAGGACCACCCACCTTTTCCATCAACAAGCTGACATGAAGCCCAAACTGACCTTCAACTATCTACACGCACCAGAGCCAGGTCTTCACAGCCAGCTCAGAGAATGACCATAAGCAGGGCGGACAGCTGAATCCCGGGGCGGTGGAGCTAACTGCATCACTGCTGGCTGAGCCGCACCATTCGGGTCACAGTGTAACACGCTGTGACCTTAACCAGCTGCAGCAGCTGCACCGCTGAATTTCTTTTTGTTATATTTTGTTTTTGTCTCTCCCTTTTTGGCACAGGAAGTTTTGCTTCTTTACACATGATAATTCAAAAGTCTTTTCAATGTGATATTTTTTTTTTTATGAAGGCTGGAAGCTAATAGCATCATTGCTACAATAATCAATATCAAAGCATGTAAAAAGAAAAATTACTCTTAGTCTCATAATTTATTTGATAAAATATCAAAATTCTGTCTGAAGGAGAACCACATGGTTGAGTAAGAGAGCAGGGCTCCATATGCCAACCGGTTCAATTCTCAGCCTCTTCCTGTCCCTCCGCTAGGGAATAAAGGTTCCTTATGACACAAAAAAACTAATTTCACACACAATTTGACAGGGAAAATAATCTTAAATTTCAATAAAGGGTTTCATTAACTAAAATTTTTAATTATAATGCCTAACACAAATTTTAATAGAGTTGAAAAAAAGGAGGGAGATATGTAGAAGTTACCACATCACTTGGACAAGTCAGTTTTCAGATTAGAACGGAAACGTGGAACTGGACAAGAGCGATCCTATTTTAGGGGTCTGTAATCACACTGTTGGCCCACATAAGGAATCCACACGGAGTTCTGTTCATGACGCTTCAATATTATTCAGCTCAGCTGAATGTAAAATCTCAGCTCAAAAGCGACTCATTTATCCAGAATAATCATTTACTGCGGAAGGATTTTTAGTCGCGCAAAAGAAAAAGAAAAACTCCAGATTTTCTCTCCCCATCAAAAGCAAAGGGTTTTTGTTTTTAGAGAATGACAAGAATGGCTTAATCTTTCATAAATATTTATAAACATGAACAGGTTTTAACCTTAAAACCTCATTTAAATGTTGGGGAACTGCAACAGCATAGAGTTATTCATGATGGGGAGATCAGATCTACCTTTGTGTCTTTCAAAATGAAGTTTGCAAACATTTGCCAAATGCTAACAGCTTTGTGCCTCTGCCCTCAGTGAGTCAGAGGTGTGAAAAGAAAATAACAAATAGTGTTTCAAGAAATTTACACTAAGATAAGAAAAACAGAACACAGCACATGCAAAAACCCATTTATTGCCACTGAATCTTAAAAGCATGATGAGGCCACCATTCTGACTCAGCTGTGCATCTTTTTCCTAGTTCTATATTTGGTTTGTATCTCTTTCTGTCTCTGTGCTCAGCCACACCGGGAGCCTACAGACTTAGAGACTTAGACTTGACATCTTCTGGGGAAGAAATTGTGAAGAGGAGCTGATTAGCTAATCAGTAGTGGACTTTGGAAAATGTGTATCCACATCTCAGTAGGCAGCCACTTGGGGAGAAAAAAAGATTTTTCTACCACATTCCTTAAAATGGAAAATAAGAACTGTGATAAATCAAACATTGCTGTTAAAAACCATCTCTAAAATTTTTGTGATAACATACTAAAGAAAAGATACATAGCATATGAAAAATCAAAGTTATAAGTCCCTTGACTTTTTGACAAGATTACAACTTTTGGGATTTATTTTAAATCTGAGCTCCTAAAGCATATATCATAATGTTTGTTTGTGGAGTGCTGAGAAAAATGCTTTAAATATGTGTGATGAAAAGCATGTGGCTCATGCTGTAGTGGAAAGGGAAATGCCTTCCCAAAAAAGTCAAAACAATGAAGATCTAAATATTTATTCAAATACGCAGAACATCTTCAGCAATTTGAGGTGAAATGTGTAAATGTGGAGAAATCAGTCCAGCACAATAAAGTTCTGGGGGGTTCAGTTGCACCCATATTGAGAGTGATGTCTCACACCTAAAAGATTTATCTAAATGTGTTCAAATAAATGACAGAGGTCACATTTAATTCTTCTAAAAACTACTGTTTGCTTCACTTTAATGTTGCTTTTTGCAAACATAGAATGACAAAGATTAAAGCAAAAACAGTAAATCCTGCTCACAACTGATCCTAAATTATCAGCAGACTTTGAATTCTGATAAATATTTTAGAGCCTTTATTCACAAATGTCTGATAAAATATAATTTCTACTTATACTTAGGAAAAGAACAAAACACATCAAACAGTGTGACCGAATAATATATTCAGATGTACATAACATCTGAGTATTGATCTTTTAAATGTTGCATACAAACATATAAAGTGTTGTAATAAAAAAAGACTAATAGCAATCTGTCTTGTCTTAAACATTACATGGATTACCAGTCTGACAGCAGAACAGACTGTGGAAGCAGTGAGAACTATTTTCTTCTGACAGTCAGCCATGCAATCACATGTCAGGTGGAGACATGAAGTTGTCACGTCCACACTGGAACAAGGAGCCAAAGAACAGAAAGCAGAAAAGTAAGGCTGAAACTGGCTGAAAAAATGACTTATTGATCATTATGGTGGCAGTGTTGTCTTGAAAATTGACCGGAAGTAAACGAGTGATTCTCCCTGCATGAGAGGGGAGCATTCAGAAAGGACCACTGCTGGTTCGAATCTGGGGGGTTTTTTGAGAGAGAAAAAGCATTTCAGCTCACCATAAAAAGTCAGATCTGTTTTTGGATGCTGAGGACAGGAGAGAGGAAGAGAAAGAGAGAAGGAAATGGAAAGTGACAGGATGCAGTTCAGGAAAATTTTATGGAAAAAATTAATGTAATCTACAGGCCTCTTGGCTATATTTCACTTTTTGAGATTTTCCATATAGTATTTCTGTCATTCATGAATGCTGCTTTTCTATCACCTTATGACAGAAGCATTTTATTCTATTCTATTCCTATATGCACATAATATGATTCAATTTCTGGCAAAAATATGAAAAATTAGATTTATTGGTCCTTCTGCGCTGAACTGAATTGTAGACAAATGGAGAAGTAAAAATATAATATATGGAAATCATCATAAATCATTTCCTCCAGTTTTTTTTCAGAAAATATCTATCTAAGGAACTTAGAAATTTTAGAAATTCTAAAAAGTGTAAATCAGAATGTTCATCAGAGCGGAATAGATTGGTGCAGTTTTAAAGTTAGTGTCCACATTCTAGTATAATGGGGTACTGATATTAAAAATAAAATAAAAAAATAGCATTAATTGTTAAACATTTAAACCCCACAAATCTATTTAAATATGAAGTTTTAATAAAAAACAAATCTATTTTGTTTAATTTGTAGAAAGAGAAAAACATAGAAATATTGTAGACATTTTACTCAAATTAAGTAAAATAAAACCACTCCAAGGTTAATGTTTTCTGTTGTATTACCTATATAGGAAAAAATACAAGTACTATGGTTATAAATTATGTTCAGTTTTGACTTTGACAAATTTCCAGTCATATTCAATAAATCAGAATGTGTGTTTCAATGAGGCTCAATTTTTAGATTAAAAGAACCTATTAAAAGAATATCACTACCGAGTCATAAAACAACTATAAAACCTATTTTCTGTGTTATAAGCTACTTTTTTATTGGTCTGATATTGTATTCTAATCTCACCAAGCCTAGTTTAGATAAATGAAATGAAAAAAGTGTAAAATATTTCTATGTATTCTACTGTTCTGAGGACATATGGATATGTTTTATTTAGAAGGCTGCAGAATCAAATTCGTGGCTGATGCAGTTCCTGAATTCATCTCAAAAAGCCACTTTCATCCAAACATCTACAGTCCATGACAGCTGTGGTGTGCTTAGCTTTTTTATATGTAAATCCCACTGCTTTTCAGACAATTGTATACAGTCTGATCTCTAAATCAACTCCTTTGTCAGCCGACATCCTTCATTTATTTCTCTATGCAATTTCTGTTTTCGAGGCACATTCTGTTATCTAAGTTATTCACACCACCGACATGCAAAGCTTTTTAATTATTCCTTTATTTTTGGAAACATGTGTCTTCTGAATTTAACTAGCATTCAAATTTTGAAATGGCCAAGCCAGAGTCTTCACTTTTGATATGAAATCTGTGAAGTGAACTATAGATTATGGATTATGGGAAGGCAGTCATACACACTCAAGGGATTTAAAGTTGGCTTTAAAAAGCACTCTACAACTTGACCTTTGGGCATTCACAAATATAAATTTTGAAATATTGAACACTATATTTTAAGAAACTTACTGTGCATGTACCTGATGGATGTGACACACACACACACACACACACACACACACCCCCACACACACACACACACACACACACACACACATATATAGATGAGACACTGTGGTGTGTCATATTTTCCTTCTATCACTGAAAGTGATGAAACACCAGGGAAACTAATTTATAACATCTTTGGGACGTCATTCTTGACCAACTCAATGAATAATGTGCAGACAGGGAGTGTGTGGCATTCACCTCGCAGATCCAGTAGCTGCTAAAAAATGGCTTTACCATCTTCCCTACTGAATAGCTTGAGGGAAAAGGAAAATTTAAAGCCATTTTTCCTTCATGTGACCCATTCCCAGCCCCACACAGCCATACTATTCTGCACTTTGTCACATCATCTGCACCTTGCCATAATTGGACCTGCTGCTTCCTCTTTAGTTTGGTTGGAGTGCTTTTTAGTTAATT